ATAATTGTACTTGAGGACGTTGTTCATTCGCTCACAAATTATACTCACACGCACACAGTACCAGTTCCATCATCACCAAATTATCTCAATTGACGAAAAGAATTAACAATGTCATCAATTACAATTATACCACAACCAACAACATATGCAACAACAACAGCAAATAATTTACCAAATATTAATTTACCACCAATGCGTCCATTATATTTACAACCATACGCTCCTCAACAACAACAACCACCAACTTACCATCATCTTAAACAACAAATTCAGCCTAAGCCTATGTTATATGGATCCAATCATCGAAAGCAAAATTATCTACACAAATTTCAAACAGGTACGACTACTACATTTAATGGATATACTAACTTTTCAGGTACACGTACAACTAATTTACCACCACCACCACCACCACGTCGAAATTTACCACCTCCACCACCACCACGTACAATATATCATCATAATCCTTATCATAATAATTATAATAATCGTTATTACCATCATCGTCATCATTATAATAATAATTTTAATAATACCCAAAATTTACCATCATTACTTGATTTAAATCCCTTCCATTTACCATCACGTCATAATACACGTACATTTACCACTGCCCAACATTATCATCCTAATCATCATCAACAACATTATCCCCGTTCATTATCACGATCCCGTTTTCATGTTTTATCCCAATTACCATCAAAATCACGGTCCCGTTCACGTTCTTACCAACGTCCATTACCACCACCAATTAAGCCCCGTCGTATTCATCATCAACAACAACAACAACAATTTAATCGCCACCGATACCAACAACAACAACAACGTCCTACCATACCACCATACAACAATACCAATAATAATATTAATAATAATAATAATAATTACAATGGAATTAAACGTACTTTACAAGGCATTATATTATCTGATTCTATGTGTTCAAGATTACGTACATATGCCATTAAAAAATTACCATTATATGATATTGAATTAAGTTATGAATCAGGTTGTGATATTTATAAAATGATACAATGGTTAAACACACCTGAAGGTCGCGGTACGGTAGGAAATAAAGATTTTCTTCTTTTTTGTTTGGGTACTAATGATGTGGGACGGTACGGTGTCGATGTCTCTCTGCAGCGAGTTAGTGAGCTCATAAGTTTCGTGCGACAGTCATACCCAGGAAACCGGGCCATTGGTTGGTTAGCTTTGTCACCACGATGGAAACCAACGAGATTCGTCTCTGCGGCCAACATCGGACAAATGCATAATCAATTTAATGAGCGTCTTCGGATCTTATCCAAGCAATTGGATTTTGATGTTGTTGACGCGCGTCTAGGACTTGCGGATATGCGTGTAGAAGATGGGCTACATCCATCTAATACCACTGGCAAATGGAAATATGAAGGAGCTACTCGTGAATGGTTCTCTTCTCGTGCTGCCGCACACTATTCTATCTTTTTTCAGCGTCGTCGATTTCCATCAAGATCAACAGCACCAACTACACCAACGACGACAACTACATTATATAATGATAACAATATTAATAATTATAATATGAATATGCAACGGCAGTACCAACCTCGTCCAAATAATAATTATTATTACCAACAGCAACAAAATAGAATCAGGTCTGTCTTTACTTTTTCAAATAATATTAATAGTACTCAGCCCTTCGTAGTTACCTCAGATAGAATAGTAGAACAAAGAAATAATAAAAATAATAAACAATATCCCAACTTTCCATCGAGATCATTAATTAAGTTTTATCCCCACAAGCTGAAGACGAAAGAACAATTTTTTAGAGACAACCAGCCCCCTCAAGAAATAGAAAAAGAAAAAGATAAATTATTTCTGATAGCTAATACATATTACCAACAGAGACACTTTGAAGAAGAAAGTAAAAAATGGAAAATATATGAGCAAGTAGCTAGTCGTAAGGAAAACCCCTCAACTAAAGATGGAGATGATATCCTAATGATAGAAGTAGAAGAAATACCACAAGCAAGACCCTTTCGAGAGAGATACTCAGCCATTCTTAATATGACAGTAAGTGATACAGATAGCCAGAGTAATGAGAATAGTAAGAGTGAGTGTAAGGAAGAAAGTAGTGAGAATAGTGAGAATAGTGAGACAGACGAAGAAGATAGAAAGAAAAGAAAATTAATAGATACTAGTATATCACCCACCTCCAAAGAAAGAATAGTTAAAATTAGTTTAAGAAAAAAGAAATCCAAGCCTAAGAAGAAAAAGAAAATGCCAATTGAGAATGACCCAAGAGCCCCAGAAGGTAGCCCAATATTATTAGTTAGTGACAATAGCAATAAGGAACCAGTAGAAAAGAAAGCAAGACCCGACACCCCAGTTGATTCAGCAGCAAAGAGACCCCGACTTTTTTCACACGTTTTTAAACCCCCCAAAGTAGCCCCCCGCTCTCAACAACAACAAGAGATAGTCATCCAACATGAAGAAGAAGTCTTACCCCTTTTACCAACAACACCACCAGGATTACCAGCACCACCAGTTTTAAGTCCACGACAGAGTACACCAAGAACACCAATAGCACCACCAAGACCATTAGTAACAAGTCCGCAAATTGATCCATCACACCAAGTTGAGAATAGAGATGAACCCGAAGTAGTTGAGAATATACAAGTTAATGAGCAGGTAACACCAATGGAACAAGAAATAGTTAGAAATTCACCCTCAGTAATTCCCAAAGATATAGAGAACTTTAAAATAGAATTATTCGATTTTCCAATTATCCCGATTGAGTGTAAGTTTCATTTTAAGATCTTCCATGTAACAGCAAATATAGAAAACATAATAGCACATAGGGAATTCTTAGAAAAGAAAGCGAAACAACAGGAAGTTGAGTTAGAACATCTAATGGAAAATTCCAACGGAGATTTACGTAGAATAGTAGTTAAATTTATTAGAGAGATAGTTGACCCACTGATAGATAGTTTAAAGATTTCAAACCAGAAGCGCTTAGACAACCTTATCTTAGACCAGATGAAGGAGAGGTCCTTAAGAACAATTAGAAATAGTAAGGATAAGAATAGT